TTTTCTGAAAGGTAGGCCAGGCCCTGGGAGAGTCTGGGTTGAAGAGCCATTGGTGGACTTGATGTAACTGTAACTGCTGGGTGAATTTCTTGGCTTCACTTCGGGTGTCTCGGTGGGTGCCTTAGGGTTTCACTTGGCACCAAGCACTTGAACATTCCAGCCCAGTATCCTGGCCATATTAGCCGTGGGTGTGCGTTGTCTTCAGCCAGTGTCAACTCACCATTGTCTGAGGAATGCCAGAGGCAGCAGAGAAGGAATGTCTTGGCCATCTCCCTGTGATACAGAGCAGTATCCCGGCCAAGAAGCCAGGGGAGGGCTGTGATCTGGGGAGGGCTAGTGGGGATGAGAATTCAGGGCTGGAATGAGGGAAGAGTTGCTCAGTGGTGAGCTGACAACATAAGATCCTCATTTTCCTGGAATTTTCTCTTTTGACTTGCTGCCCTCGAACTATGAGATGACTTTGAAAGAGAGTTGAGCTTCCAAATATAAGTATATATGTTAAAAGAAGGTTACTGGGTAATATTAGGAAGTCACTTAACGTTCAAAACATTAAAAAGTAAACATTTTACTCTGTTCCTAGCAGCATTAATCACAACAGCTAATGATGTGTGGAAACAACTCAAGTGTCTGTCCACGGTTTAAATGGATAAACAAAATGTACAGACATACAATGGACTGTGATTCAGCCTTCGGAAAGAAAGTGATTCTGACACAGGCTACATCATGGATGAACTTGACATTCTGCTAAGTGAAACAGGCCAGTCACACAAGGACAAACACTGTGTGATTCCACAGACCTAGTGCAGTCAAGTCGAGAGAGAGAGAAAGTAGGTGGTGGGTGCCAGGGGCTGTGGGGAGAGGGGCACAGGGAGTCATTTAATGGGTAAGAGTTCTCTGGGCACTTGCATAACAATGTGAATATACTTAATGCCAGGGAGCTGTACATTTATTTAAAGTTAGCAAAATGGTGATTTTTATGTTATATGTATTTCACGCCATGAAATACAGACTTTGCAGCCTTGAAGACCTGGGGCTCTGAAGTCAGGCTTTGTCCTGTATTGGCTGTGGGATCATGGGCATGATAGTTAACCTCTCTGAGGGTAGTTTTCTTTCTCTTGTCTTGCTGTGGGCACAATGATACCACAGCATAAATCCATACATGGTTGTAGTTTCTTCCCAGTGTGGGGAGTAGGGCAGGCTGGATGGGTGGGGAACTTGCTGGTGGTGTGGGTGCGGACCTGGAGGCCTGGATTGGAGACATGGGTGTGTGAGGAGGCAGACCACCCATTTCCTGGGTGGTGGCCACTCAGTCAGGACTCTGAGTCTGTAGGTGGGTGACTAGCACTCCCTCAGTATGTCTTTCCATTGGCCTGGAAAATAACTCTTTTTTCCACTCTCTGAAAGGATCTTAGACATCGGGCTAGGTCAGCCCTTTGTTTTACACACCAGAAGGCTCAGGTCCAGATAGTGAAGTGAGTTGTCCAAGTTTATCCAGGGGCAGAAGGGTGATGAGAACCTAGGCTAACTGATCTCACCCCTCCACCATTGTAAGGCTTACTGAATTACCCATTTGGTTAAGTCACGGTTTTTGCTGTCAAGCACTTACCATTTTTCCCCCTAGAGAGAAAACACATGAATTAATTATAATATAAAGTATGATAATAAATATGGCATGGAGTTGAGGTGTGAATGACACAGAAGGGCGGGCGTGCCGCCAGGCCCACCTGGAAGGGTGGGAAGGCTTCACACTTGAGCTGACGTCTTTGTGGTTAGGGTTGCATGAAGGAGGCACCCCGTAGGTTGGACATGATTCGGGCAGATAGTGGTGTGTGTGTGAGCGTATCTGTCTGTCTGGTTGTGGCTGGGAAGTCCAGGTAGAGGGATCAGCATCAGTAGAAACATCTTGGAAAAGAGCATCCACTTTGGGAACAGGTTTGAACAGGATTTGAAACTCAGCCCTGTGCCCTACTAGTTTTGAGCAAATAACTTGTCTACTCTGGCCTCTAATGAACTCATCTTTAACACGGAGCTAAAAAAAAAACTGAGGGTTGTTGCGAAGTCATCATTGGAAAACACATGCTCAGAATGCTAATCGGTTGGTTTATATGGGAAGGAGAGGTCGCAGTTATTCTAAGATATGCAGTTGAATCACACCACTCCCACCTCTCCTGCTCTGCGGTCGGTTTTCAGGGTGTCTTGACTGGGGGGTGTCGGTGTTGGTGCTGAGTTCCTCATGGGTGAAGAAAACTTCTAGGTCTTCCACGGTGCCTCTGTTCTGTTTAGGAAAAGAGGCAGATAAGAATCCCAAGCCCACACCCTTTCTTTGGTAAGAACAGGAAAAACTGTTTCACCAGAAATTTGGAATCATTATTTAAGATTCCCAGAACTATACTCTTTCTGTTTTGCCTGGTTACAGACTGAAAACCTCAGAATAATACCGTGACTATAAACTACTCTGTTTATTAAATTCCGGAGTCAAGGGGCTCCGAGTTGTCCATGGCGACTAGGATGATGTTTTCTCGTTTGTGACTATGAGGTGGTCAGATTTCGCTGTGTCCCTGCCCGGGAATGGTTTGGGGAGGGGTGAGCTGTTAAGGATTGTCTGGGATGGTGAACGTTCAGCCTTAGGGAGGCCTAATACGTGATGTAGATCTTTGCTACCGAAAATGTGGTCCTTAGGCCAGCCGATGTTATCTGGAAGCCTGGGGGTTTGTGAGAAATACAGATTCCCAGTGTCCACCCCAGACTTCCTGGGTCAGAATCTGCATTTTAGCAGATCTGTAGGTGATCTGTGTGCACACTGAAGTTGGAGAAGGACTGACACAGGAGACTGTGTGGATCACTGATTCAGTCTCCCCTTTATCCACGGAGAAGCCTTCCTGGTTCTGTCTGGTTAGAATTTATCCCTAGTTTATATTTGATTTCCTTGTGAACTGAAGAAGAGATTTCTAAGTGGCTAAGAACTGTAGGGTACAGAAAGAAAATGTGGAAGGAACAGAATATAAAAAATTTTTTTTCTTTCTTTGGGACTTTAACATTTGCCTTGAAATGTCTGACTGTGCTTAAGTCTTTAAAGCTTTTATTTATAGAAGCAGGCAAGTCAACATTTTTCTTACCAGAATCATGAACTGCTAGATTTTGGCCATCTTGTTCTATTCATTGGCTTAGCTTTTCTGCCCAGTTACTTCCTTTAGGTAGGTACTTTCAATAGAGAGGGATAGACATGGGCAAGATGTTTTTATTTCCCCTGAATGGATATTTCTGGGGAAAGACCTAATGATGAAAGACCAAGTTTTTGTTGATGGAGTTTTACCAGCACAGTTTTTCAGTAGTCCTGGGCCTTCTGGTGAAACATAAAGAGTTTTTTGGTTTCTTATATTTTATGAGATATTATGTCATTTTTTCCCCCATAAAAAAGTTAAACTTGGACAACTTTCAAAGCATAGGTAAGCCTGGGGTCATGAATTTTACATGTAATTCTTAGTGTGCAAAAACATTGCTTATATTTAAAAAGCCGAAATGTTGGAAGGTTTTTGAGGGCATATTAAAAAAATTCTGTCTTGACTTTTAGTGACTTTTTACCTGTCCCTGTTGTAAGTGGCATTTTACTAGCATGGCCTCATAACACATGACCTCGAACTTGTTTGCCTTTATTCAGTTAATTGACTCTCCACTCATCTGAAATTTCTGAGATGGGGAAATGAGCTCTGGGTCAAGGATCAAGAGTCAGGTCCAAGGTTTGGGTTCCCATCTCTGCTGCTCCATGGCTCAGTGGTGTGAACATGTTCTGGGCCCTGGGATAGTCATCTATAAATGCAAGGAACCAGGCGAGATCCATGATTTTCATGGGGACAGGGGCTCTATGAGCTGGTTGTGTGTGTATCAAGATCTTGAACGTGGGGAGCATGTTTTATTTAAAGATGTACGGTACTATATTTCCATTTTTGGAAAATGGAAAAAAACCTTTGTTTATTTTAACAAGTGGCACAATGTGATATATGATGCAATCTTGTCTAGTTAACACAGAATGGCAGGCATGTGGGATCAGCAGTCAGAGGCAAGTAACAACTTTTAGTAAGAACTGCATGCCAGGTACTGTTTTAGACTTGGATGTACATACAGTCTCCCTTAAACCTCACAGACCCCTTAGAAGATCAGTTCTGTTAGATCAGTGATGATACCATATGAGCAGCTCCATCAAGGCGGTGCCAAGATGCCCACCGGCTAAGCTGCACTGCCCAGCTGAGAGTGGCCTGTCGCTGTGCTCATTCCCTCCACGCTCAGGTTGGCTGCCTGATCTCCCCAGTGCACCTGAAGCCACGGCTTTCAGTGTTAGCCCCCAGGCGTCCACATGTCCGATCTCGTCAGAGGTTTTCACCTGCTCCTGCCAGGGAGCCAAACCAGACGCCGAGCCCAGTGCAAATCCAGACATAGGGACTGATGGGCACAGTGCTTCCTGAAGGGAGGGGAAGTATATCATTCATTCTTTCATCATAATCTCCCAGGGAATGATTTAATTTCTCTCTCAAATCATTCTGACTGTAAATGACAGCAAGATTTAATATGACTGACCTCAAGTAATTTTGTTAGTGTCCAATTTACCTTTCTCTTGTTAGTGACAGCATCTAGATAAATAAACTGCTATTACCTCCATGCGTTAATTACTTGCACTATCTGTGTGATGCTCAGTAAATGAATGGAATTCTTTAAGCCTCTATTTCATCTTTTATGAAATAGGGATGGTAGTAGTTTCTATCCCACAGAGGGTCCAGGAGATCAGCTTTAACAAACACGCTTATTTGGAAAATGGCAATGAGACCAGCCACGCTGGAGGGGGGAGTACAGTGGGCAGGGGTGTGGCTGGAAGTGTTGTGTAAATGCCGTCTTATAGGGTATGGATTCACATCGGCCTTCTTTCCAGTTGTCTTACTAATGAATTTGTCTTCTGCCTTGGACACACCCTGAAGTCCCTCTGAGAAGTTACTGTTTTGGCCTTTTAGGACCAGACCGACTTTGAGTGGACCTTCTGGATGGAGTGGGGGAAGCAGCGGCTCTTGCAGCTCCTCGTGGGTCACATGGCTGTGTCTCAGCTGGCCACCTGGCTTGCAGGGCAGGTATGTTGATGTGCGTCCTTTCCTTTGGAGCCTCCTTCTCCTTTGCTCTTTGTGAAGAAAGAGTCCTGAGCTGTGAATCAGGAGACACGGGTATTAGCCTTGGAATTCTGGAAAAGTTGTGAAAGAGTTGTTAAAAATCAATAGGACACTTAAAAGTTTCATACATTCTTGTCCTGCACTTTACCATGTAATTTTTAAGACCATTGAATATGAAGGTTTTAGAATAAAGCTGACTTCAGATGGTATTCTTCAAGATCATTCCTAATCAAATCATCTGGTTTAAAAAAATGCCTGTTGTTGAGAATCTACGTCATTGCACTTACAAGTTCAGAAGAAAGTGAAGTGAGCGATTTCATTAAGAAGGAGGAATAATTTTAATGTCAAGTAAATTATGCTATAGTAGCTGTTGTAAATCAGAATTCCAATAGCATTTCTCTCTTGCCTTGGCCTGGATTAGAGAACAAGGGACACTTAAAAAAGGATGTTTGAAAGAGGCTTTTGCAGGAGGGACAATTGAAAAGCTCTTCGAGCGTGTGGCTACCTAGGCACCTGAGATATCGTGATGAGGATCTTTCTGCTGCGGAGGGGCCGGCCTTTGTCTGGCATCTTCCTCCTGACATATGTGTGCTTCTTGCCTCAGAATTTCCTAATGCGAAAAGTTGAGTCTTTGCTTGGAAATCTACCCAGTAGAAACAAAATACAACTGAAAACTGACTTGGAAGTCAACCCAGGAAAAATATTTGATTCTTAGAGATTCATGGAGGTAAAGAATTACAACAGGTGCCTCAGGCCAGAGAGAACAGAACATGAGCAAACAGGGTGCCATGTGGTTGGGGGATGTATACATACTGGACCAGAGCTATTTTTAGCTCCTTCCTGAAAGCTGGCACTTTCTAAGCTTGCTTCTCATCCTAGAAGATGGGAAATCCCAGTGGCATGCTGACTTTCTTTATTTTATTTAAAATGTTGATTACTTTTTATACTCATGTGGTGTCCATCTCCTCAAACGGCAAAAGCTAAAATGTTAGCTGCTGTCGGATCTGCATACATTTAAAAAATTCTACTGAACTTTCTGAGCAGACCTAGCAATAAGTAATACATTTTTTAGGTGATCCTGAAGCTAGTGTGATTGCATCTCCCCGAATCCTCAGTAATGGGTTTCTTTTCTTCTCCAAATTTTTGTTTGGTGCTTTTCAAAAAGTTTTTGATTTTCTAGAAATTTGATTTTTAAAAATTTCTAGAAATTAACATTTTTATTTCTAACCAAAGTTTCTCTGCTCATAGGTAAATGATATTATTACCCCTAGGTCTGTTTTCCCTTCTGTAAAATGAATAGCTCAATACTTGTCTTTTCTGCCTCCGTGAGGGGAAGATGAAATCTTAATCCATCATTTTCTGTAAAGTAGGGTTGATGAGACAGTATTCTTCTTCTCTTCCTCTATTAAAAAATGGTGAGCTTCATTTGATAGAAATGTCATTTAAAAGTTAAGGATGAAACATAAAAAAGATGGGACGAAGAGAAAGTACAGAAGAAATGGCAGAAATAACTCTAAATACGTCAGTAATCACAATCAGTGTAAGTGGGCACAATTCCCCCTTCCCCAGGAAAAGATTGTCTGACTGCATGAAAGAAAAACAAACAGAAATAAAGGAAAATAAAGAGATAAAACAGCCCAGAGATGTGCTTCTTAGCAAGATCTACTTAAAATGGAAGGACACAGAAAGTTTGAGAATAAGAGGATGGGAAAAGATGTTCCAGACAAATATAAGACTTTCCTTCCTCCTGCCCCCCCAAATACTGGTGCGGTTTTATTAACAGCTGGCAAAGAGCATTATCATTGTCCAAGAGGGTTATCGTTTAATGATAAAGAGTTATTTCATTAGGGAGATACTATACTTCCGAATTTGTTTCATGCAGAATATGCAAAGCAAAAGTTGATGAGTACCATAAAGATAAGTAGATAAGTCTACGATCATAGAAATTTTTAAAATAATTTCATCACTAATTGATATGTCATGTGCAAAAAATATAATAATAAGGAAAAATATAACTAATAAGCTTGATATTAGAAAAACCTGTAAATTATTGCATCCGACAACTGGAGAATTCACATTCTTTTAAAGAACACATGGGACATTTATAAAAGTAAACTACGTATTAGACCATAAAATAATTTTCAATAAATTTTGAAGTGTGTCTTTTATATAGGTTACCTTCTCTAATCCTAGTGCAATTGAATTGGTAACACATGATGACCTGAAAACTCTTAACTCATTTAAAAATTTAAAAAGAAAACATACTTTTAATAACTCATAGGTCAAAAAAGAGATCATACTGGAATTAGAAAACAGAAATGAATGAAATATCTTACATATCAAAACTTGCAGGGTACAGCCAGAGTAGGACATAATTGGAAAACATAACCCTACATTTTCATATTAAAAAGGAGGAAAGGCTGAGAATTAATGAGTTCAGCATACAGCTTAAGAAACTAGGAAAGAACAGCAGAAAAAAGGAAAAGGGAAGAACAAAAATAAGAGTAGAAATTAATGAAACAATGGCAAGATCGGTCAAGAAGAAAAGATAATACACAAATAACTAATACCAGTTAATGGAAAAACAGATGAAAATATATAGTAAGGGAATATTTTGTACAAATTTATGCCAGTAATTTTGAAATCTTTGGCAAAGCTAATTCCTAGAAAATGTAACTTACGTTGGGTTTATCGGGGTGATCATTTCACAGTGTTTACAAAGGTCCATCATTATGTCGTACACCTGAAACTAATATAAAAAATGTATGTCAGTTATACCCCAATAAAACTTTTTTAAAAAGAGGAAAAAGAAAATAAACTTATAAAACTGACTCACGAGAAAAAGGAAAAGACTGAATAGTGCTATATAACCATGAAAAGAAACTGAGCAGTAGCTAAAAATGCACTGTAAGAAAAACTAGTCTAATATGCCAATCGGGCCATATATCCAAGGCACAAATTATTAAACTCTTTCCCAGATTTTTTCAGAAAAGAGAAAAAGAGGGAACAATCATTTTGTGAAGGTAGCATAAAATTGATACAAAAATCAGGGATATGCTCTACCAGACATTATGACTAAGAAAGATATGATTAGGACACTGTTGTACTGGCACATGGATAGAAGGACACATAGACCAATGGAACAGAGCAGAGTTTAGCAGTTACCTAGATATTGATGAAATCTTGATTTACGGAATAACTGGCATTGAAGATCACAGTGGAAAAGAGGAGCTACAGAGTGCTGGCACAATTGTTTAGTCATATTGTCATTTTAGGGTGAATTAAAGACTTAAAAACAAAAGTATAAAACCTTTAGAAAGTGTGTTGTAGGAGAATCTCTCTTGATTTTAGGGTAAGAAAGATTTCTGTAAACAGGCACAAAAAGTGCAGATTGTAAAGGAAAAAATAGGTAAGTTTAACTACATTAAGTCTAGTAACTTATCAATGCATAATAATATGTAATAATCAATGTACATCTTTGGGTGTATTCAAAGACACAGTGAAGAAAGTGAAAAGGCGAATCACTGATTGAGAAGTTACTGCAACCTGATGAAGGATTAGTATTTAGAATATGTAAAGAATTTCCTAAAGGAAAGACAAATTGCCCAGTAGAAAAATGACACCATATGTGATCAGGAATGTGCAGAAGAGGAAACATAAATGACCAAAAAACTTAAGAAAACATGTTCAATTCATTAGTAATCAGGAAATGCATCTTAAAACAATGAAACGCCATTTCATGCTTTCTAATTTGGCAGAGCCAAGACAAAACAAAAATCCCCTGATCATATCCGGCACTGGCCACCTGAACTTATCCCGAGAAGTTGTGAGTGTGTATTGGTATAGCTTCTTTGCAATACACTATTAAAGCAAAAAAAAATGGCCACTACTACCAGTGCCCATCTTGACATATTCCCTGGAGAAGCTCTTTTCTGCCAACCAGGGGCTGTGAGCCAGGACATTCACTGCCGTGATGTTTATAATAATGAGGAGCCAGAAGCAATCCAAACGCCCATGGATGAATTGTAGTGAATTTATTCCATGCAGAAGAATGAATTATAGCTCTAATGATCAACGTGGATGAATTTCTGGACGATGACACTGAGCTAATAAGGCCAGCTGCAGAAGAATCTATCAGCAGTGAAACATAAAGAGTTTTTTGGTTTCTTATATTTTATGAGATATTATGTCATTTTTTCCCCCATAAAAAAGTTAAACTTGGACAACTTTCAAAGCATAGGTAAGCCTGGGGTCATGAATTTTACATGTAATTCTTAGTGTGCAAAAACATTGCTTATATTTAAAAAACCGAAATGTTGGAAGGTTTTTGAGGGCATATTAAAAAAATTCTGTCTTGACTTTTAGTGACTTTTTACCTGTCCCTGTTGTAAGTGGCATTTTACTAGCATGGCCTCATAACACATGACCTCGAACTTGTTTGCCTTTATTCAGTTAATTGACTCTCCACTCATCTGAAATTTCTGAGATGGGGAAATGAGCTCTGGGTCAAGGATCAAGAGTCAGGTCCAAGGTTTGGGTTCCCATCTCTGCTGCTCCATGGCTCAGTGGTGTGAACATGTTCTGGGCCCTGGGATAGTCATCTATAAATGCAAGGAACCAGGCGAGATCCATGATTTTCATGGGGACAGGGGCTCTATGAGCTGGTTGTGTGTGTATCAAGATCTTGAACGTGGGGAGCATGTTTTATTTAAAGATGTACGGTACTATATTTCCATTTTTGGAAAATGGAAAAAAACCTTTGTTTATTTTAACAAGTGGCACAATGTGATATATGATGCAATCTTGTCTAGTTAACACAGAATGGCAGGCATGTGGGATCAGCAGTCAGAGGCAAGTAACAACTTTTAGTAAGAACTGCATGCCAGGTACTGTTTTAGACTTGGATGTACATACAGTCTCCCTTAAACCTCACAGACCCCTTAGAAGATCAGTTCTGTTAGATC